GCCGCCAAAAGGGGAGAATTTTTCCAGCCCGCCGCCCGTACCGCCACCTAGGCGGAACCGCAAGAACGCTCAGGTAGGATGCAATCTGGCCTGAAGCTTTCATCCCTCCCCGTCAATTTTCTTGCAGGCTGACGACCCCTTAGGTGTTAGGACTCCCCCCCTTTCCAGAGAGATCTGTTCAGGGATTGCCCGACAACATCGGGATACCATCGGGATCGACGGAAACCAAGTTGCGAGGATCGTGAACCTATTCTTTGGTCATTGTTCCCGCAATCGCGTTGCTCCTCCCCCTCGCTTCATTTCCTGTAGTTAGTATTCGACGAGGAACTGATATTATTCCTGGAAATTGTTCACGTTTCGAACGTTGTAACATTGTAACGCGGTGAACTTGATCGCAACTTCGTCTCCGATGACTCGAAAATTCGAATTTTTCTTCTCGATTAATATTTTTTGTTATATATATATATATATATATATATATATATACGGGAGTATGAATGTTGTTGCTTGTTGTTGTTGTTACACGTTGTTATTACACCACGAATTAGATTACTTTGATTTTTATAAAAGAGAAAGTCTCACACCGAGGCAACGTGAAGATTGTTAATCGCGCCCCGCTTAAAGCCGAGCTTTAAAATTAGTCTATAAGATGTTGTTGTTCTCCAATTGGAGAGGGAGAGATTTTATAGAGATTTTATCCATTGTATATTGACGTTGTTTCTTCTTAATACACCACGTTACCGCAAAAACACTACTGCCGTATTCACTGAACCCGTTCACTCTTTCACTCTGTCTGATAAAAGTAACGGCGGGAAAAAAGAAAAAAGGAAAAAAAAAAAAAAGACGAATCTCGCGCAGATTCGTGCGTGCTTTCGTGCCTCGAACTCGGTGAAGCACGAATTGGTGAATATGGCAGAGCACGGTGAACAACGGTGATTCGACTCGATCATCACGCACCGTTTCGCATTTCCCGTATCCGTTACTGCTATTATCATTATACATATATATAAAATTTTTTGTCCACTAAACATGCGCACACAGTTCATCATTTTTCAGCTTACAGCAACGCAGTCGTGCCTTATTTTGATCGATCGATTTCAATAATTCACACGTCACTTTTATTTTAAGTTTGCAACCAGTGCTCTCGAGTCAAGACGAGTCAAGAACACCATCGATTTTATTTTATTCTCCACTAACGCTTTGTTTATCATCGATTTAGCCTCGCCGCAATTTAATTTTAGCGCCTCTGTCTTCGACCATCGCGAGCACGCGCCATCTTTTTATTTGTCTCGGGTATTTTTTTTTTTTTCTTTTTTTTCTCTCTCTTTCCTCCATCCACGATAAAAAAGAAAGAGCGAAACATTTCTCCACGAAGAAAACACGAACAACGTTCCCGAACGATGGCACGAGCGATGTAATAAAGTTCAGGTTTCGCGCTTAGGCTAAATCGACGCAAAACCAGGGATCGACGAATCTCTTGATCGAGAGAGTTGGCAGTTTGAAGCGGACACTTCCAAACACGACCAGGCCCCTGTCAGCCACGTTAGATACGAAAACCGTGTCGAAATCCATGCAATCTATGAATATCACTACCGATGGAGCAGGATCGAGCACCGACAAAATGTCCACTCTACAGGTAAGCATTTCGTACGATCGATGAACATTTTACACGTTCTTTAAGTTAAACTCGATTAATTATTCATCGAATACACGATTTACTATATACCATACCGTAAAATTATCGAACAATTCGAAGAGTTTCTACTATTCATCGTGAATGACGAGGATGGATAATCGATAGTTTAAACGTTCACCGTGTCCTCGTTCGTTGAAATATACCATTTCACGAAGATGGCCTTCGATATCGACACGATATAGAATAGGAAACGAATGTGTAAAATGAAGGATAGACAAAGCGAAAGAGAGAGAATCGTTTAACATACGTATGAACGTTTAGGAGAGGTATAGGAAATACCAGGAGGCGATGAGAGCGCAGGATGCGAACAGAAGGAGGCACACTTCTTCCGACATTTCGAGAGACGCGGTGAGCGCAAGGCCGTTGAGTGTGACCAATCCGAAACTCGCACCTCCGATACCACCACCTCCCCCGCCCAGATCCATGATGCAATCGGCCAGCGTTTGCGATTTATCATCGCCTCATATGTGGAATCCTGGAATGCATCAGGTAATCGTTTAACCTTTTGATTCTTTGATAGATGGAAATAAAAACTCGACGAATAATACTTACCTTGCAGGCTCAATCAATGGCCCATCTCGGTCCTGGAGGAATGCCAATAATGTGGTATCCACCGAATCCTCAATGGGACATGGGCATGGGCGGTTCGACGATGAGCCTGAACCATCCGGCTATGTGGGCCTATCCCATGGGATATCCTCCATCACAGATGCTCCCGCCGCATTATCCGGGTACCCTGTCCAGGCCTCACAGCCCGGCAAGAAGCGTGAAATCGAGCAGAAGGTCGAGAGCAGCCTCGCCGTCCCCTAGTCTGAAATCTAGAAAGTCGTTGGCCTCGAGGTCGAGATCGAGAAGATCCCAAGGCTCGCCGTCCGATGCAAGCTCCGAAGATTCCGGAGAGTCGGATTTCGATGACAGGCTCTCCAAGAGCTCGAGAGGAACCAGGCGTGGAAGCGTGTCCAGGAGCGCGAGGCAAAGGAGTTATCACGAGGATGATAGGAACTTGTTGAACAGGAATCGTCGCGAGTGAGTCTTGAATATAATATCTGTTTTGAAACTTTTAAATTTTTATATCCATTGTTTTAATGATTCGATATTTTTTTTTTTTTTTTCAGAAGACTAATGTCAGAGGAAAGAGTTACCAGTACGGAGGATCAATGGTCCGAGAATCAATCGGTGAAACGGTATCCAATGTCGCCTAAGGGCTACGACGAATTCCAGAAAAACAGTTTAAATTCGCGAAGACGGTACGAGCAAGATGAACGAAGACTTTCCAGGGTGGATTCACGATTGGATCGCGTTCAGAATGGCAGCTATCGTCGAAAACGGAGCACCGACGACGACTCGTCGGATAGAAGATCCAGCGTGCAGACACGATCCAGAGTGACCAGCTCCTCTGACGATCATTTCGAGAGATCAGAAATGATGGTTCCACGGCGAAGGGACGACGAGGTGATTCCTAGAAGAGCCTCCTCCGTGAGAAGAGACATCGTGAATTTGGACAACCTCGAAAGATCTTCTCGTAGAGATTCTCGAAGATCCTCCATCGACAGCGATACACAAATGAGAAAAACTCCTTCCAGAGACTCGTTCCCCAAGAAGATCCAGGGAACGGAAGGAATGATCGATGATGCGAGATCGATTAGAGATGTCGAAGAGAACGCACCACGCGCCGCGAGAAATCTTCCAAGTCGCGAATCCTCGCAAGATCGAAACGTGGCCACGAAACGAGAACCTTTGTTGAGAAAACAAACTTCGTCCGAGGAGATGGAGAGATTGAGACGAGCTTCGTCCCGTGAGAACGTGAGAAGGACCCCGTCTCGAGAGGGAGTCCCCAGAAAAATTCGCGAAAACGACGAGCCACGACCCATGAGTAGGAACCAGGAGGAGGCTCGAGAAGTTGGTCGTTTCGTTGAAACGGAGAAACGAAGCGAGGAGGGTGCAAAGAGGATGGAGAATGAACGAATTAAACGTCTGGAAAGGACGCCATCGGTAGGAAAAGAAGAAAAGAGTGGAGCAACGACGAAGCTGGATCAACGAAATTCGTCCAAAGACGCAAATGAAAGAAACACGACGATGGAGATCCCTAAAGAGGAATGGGCTTGCGAACATTGCACTTTTATAAACAATATAAAGGATCGGGTGTGCGTTGTTTGTTGCAAAACTAAAAGCAGCGCGTTGCCGCCTAGCACGGAAGAGAATACGGAAGATGTTCCAAGCGATTTGAGCGAGATTCCCAAAAATGAGTCGGCCAGCAACGTCAGCAATCCTAGTCCAGATCTCGAGAAACGGATCAGCCTGTTAAAGATTTCGAACAGCGAAGAGAGCGGGGACAGTGTCTCCACAAAGAGCAAAGGTAGAGCAAGGCGAAAAATCAGCTTTTCCTTTGGTACCAAATCGAATCAGTGATTAAAATTATTGTACCTGTTGTCTTTTTGAATGTTTCTCCTCTCCTCCTCGATCCCCATTATTTCTCTGTTTCTTTGTCTTTATTTTTTTTTTTTTTTTTTTACGAAACCCGAAGAAAAACAGATGAACTAGAATTACACGATTGTTCCCTGTCGATGTATATCCTTGGATGAATAATAAAGAGACATGCAAATTTGTTTCGTACACGATCAGTGGAAACCAAATGCATAGTCGTGTTTGAAATAAAGTTCTTTCTCTTTCATCTTCTTCATTTATTAACTTACTTTTTTCTTTTTTTTAATCATGTCTGATGCGATTATTATTCATTCAAATGGAGCTAGTTTCAAGCATGAGCGTGCATTTGGCTGATGTTCTTTCCATCCAAAAATCGTTGTTGAATTATTTCTTTTTGTGAATCTTGAACACGTCGATTTTTTTTATTTTAATTTTTTTTATTAAATACAAGTCATAAAAGAATTAAACGTGTGTACACCTTGGCCATTCGTATTTCCAAATACCGTTTGTCATTTCAAAAATACAAGAATAAAGTTTTCTATTGATTCACATCGAATCACGTGTAAAAAAAATTCCAAACTAACACACCCATATGATATGATTGTTTGAATTTACAGATATCGCGATGTTTGAAGATTCGTCGAAAGTCACGGACAAACCGATGGCTGAATCTTCTTTGAAAAATGAATCGGCATTGATAACGAACGATTCGTCGATAACAAGCACGAAAATAAACGAGGTGGAGCCAATTAAACGACCCATGCTCGGGAAAATTTCAAAAAGCCATTCGGTTTCCACCGGAACCTCCCCACCTCCTCAGAGCATTTCCACTCAAGTAAGGGAAAAACGTTCCGTTTATTTGGATTATAGAACGTTGCCACGAATAAAGAAAATATACGAAACGAGGAATGTACGATATATATGCTTTTCAGACCTACGACTACCTTCCATCGAGAGGAAGTGGCGGATTCGTGAGAGCTGCATCCGCTTCGAAGGGATTATTGTATTATGAGGAAAGCGATGGAGAGGTAAAACGAAAGATTGATTACGTAGATCCGCGAAATTTTGTAATTCAAATATTTGTTGATTGTTCGAAAAATGAATCGAGTATTCTCATTTTAGGAACGAATCCTCTAATCTTCTATGATCTTATTATCTTTCATAAGTAACAGGATATTTTATATAATTTTGATGCATTCTCTAGCTTTAATAATTATTAAAAGTTTTCCAAAAATTTTAATTTCCTGATTCTGAAATTTTGTAATTCAAATATTTGTTGATTGTTCGAAAAATGAATCGAGTATTCTCATTTTAGGAACGAATCCTCTAATCTTCTATGATCTTATTATCTTTCATAAGTAACAGGATATTTTATATAATTTTGACGCATTCTCTAGCTCCAGTGATTATTAAAAGTTTTCCAAAAATTTTAATTTCCTGATTCTGAAATTTTGTAATTCAAATATTGATTGTTCGAAAAGTGAATCGAATCGAGTACTCTCATTTCAGGAACGAATCCTCTAATCCTCTATAATTTTATTATCTTTCATAAGTAAGAGGACATTTTATATAATTTTGACGCATTCTCTAGCTCCAGTGATTATTAAAAGTTTTCCAAAAATTTTAATTTCCTGATTCTGTCAAAGGAATTATTATACTTACGTGAACGTGAATTCCTTTTAATAAAAAGAAGGATGCTGAGCGTTTGTTTCAGGAACAAACCGGATACGCGAACAGCCCAGATTTGTATCCACGAACGATCCAGGATCAGTCGTATCTCCAACAGTTGATCGGGCCCAGCAGGGATCGTACGCGAAGAAATTCCATCGACTCCACTCACCTTTATTATCGTTCCAGGGTAAACTTGACAGATATCCCTCGAGAACTGTTGGTTTCTAATCCGATCTAATCTCCTATATAAAATTTTAACACGATTGTGGCAGTTCACCGTAGCCTCGGTGTGAACGTTTAGGCAGGTTTACATTTACAGGGGCATTTATCGTATATATATATATACCTGTTTCGCTCCAACGAAATTCTAAAAAAATCATTCGTCATCATTAATAAAACGATATTTTCTATTCTCAAATTTATCTGCGACTGTGTGTGATCATTAATCCAATCGAAAATAAATAATTCTCGTGTTGGTTAGATCGTTCTTAGATTAGTTCTTAAGCCTGTATAACATTTTGTTAATTATTTATAGAGAAGGTGCATCTTACGGCGATGAGACCTTTCTACGATTGTTTTAACGATTTTGTTGTGCCTTCTGTTCCGATTCATTTCTTTTTTTTTTTTATCATTTTTAATTGAATCGTTTGGAATCCTCGTTCCAGGAACCGAGCCAGCCCAGATACCTCGAAGCTGGACCAAGTTCACAAGGTGTTTCAACGTTGACCAGACAAGGCTTGGAGATCGTAGAGATTTTGAGGGAGGCTGAGAAACATGGTTACTCCACCGACGACGTCCAGGTGGCTTTGTCTCAGGGGGCGAGCAACCCCATCGACTGGTTGAAGACCCAATGGCCCCACTTGGTGGAAACCGTGCAAGTTCTGGTTACCACTCAAGGAAGGGAGATGAAAGAGAATAATATTGGGATGCTTTCCGGCGTGGAGGCGAAAGAGGCCTTGAGAGTTACGAAAGGGGATGTTTGGAAGGCTGTCGCGATGGCCGCTCAACGTAGACAGCTAAAAGTGAGGATTTTGAGAATAGTTTCAATAAATTGTATATAAGAAGAAAATTAAAAATGATAATACGTATGATAATTTCAAAAGTGCGAGGAAATTATGAAGAAAGGGAATTTCACGATGATGGAAGTGGTGAAAGCGTTGGAAAATAACGCCGGTGCCGAGGATGCGGCTTTGTTCGAGCTGCAAAAAAATCAGCTCAAGCCGTTCTTGATGAGGATCTGGGGTCCTCCGGTTGGGGTGGAAAACGACGAGGCTGCACCGCGGGAAGGTCGGTAAATCAAATTAACAATTTTATAAAAAGCATTTAACAAAACATTGTTAAAAAAAAAAACATCTACAATTTTTAGAAACTCTAAACAAAACAAAAATTTTAATAATCGATGTAATGTAATTTATTCGTAAGTAAGTAAAAATTCTCTACTACTCTCATTACATTATGTATGCATTTGTACACACAATCTACATGTAAATCGCACGATTTACAAGTAAAAGTTCGCAAGTTTGTTCGCGAATACATTTACTTACTACCAAAAATTAATATGTGCATACGTCGACCAGCAATCGACTCGACATTTGTAAAATGAATATACATTTTTCATTATAATATGCGCAAATCCATTTTCTTTTAAAACGGTTGTTAGTTCACGATCATCGAGGTGAATGGTTTCAGATGCGGTCGGTGGTGAAACGAGCGGTTCCGAACAGATTACCCGCGTGGGTACGGACACGGAAGCGAGGAAGCAGGTAATGTCACCAATCGTAGAAAATTTCGTCGCGTTGCAGGCCGACTTTCAAAAGCAACTGGCAGCCCTCAGACAGCTAACCGATAACTGGCAACACGAAAAAGACCCCCTGAACACGCTCGGTAATAAGCCTGATAATCTGTATCAAGTTAACAATGACGATCGAACAGTTCTAATCGATAAAAATCTGGTCCCAAGGGACGCACAAGATGTAGCCAACACAGTTAAAACAATGGAGAACGAGGGATCGATGAAACGAGCGAATGAGGACGAAACTAAATTAACGATTCAAAATACACCGATCGAAAAACACGATAAAAATAATGATTCCGAGATACGAAATTTGATTGGAGAAAAACAAGTCGAAGAATTGGAGGAGGATACGAGAGATAAAACGATCAAAGACGAAATTTCTCGCGACGACAAAAATAATATCTCGTACGAGATCCATCAAACCGAGCCAATGATGATGATTAAAAATATTATTTCACCTATTGTAACCGAAGACCACGATAAAAGCATTAATAATCCTACGACGAGTTTAATTGAAAAAGAAGTTTCCGATCTGGAGGAAAATTCGTGGCAGAATGATCGAAGCGATAGAGAGCAAAAAGAGATTTCGATCATCGATAAAGATATAAAGGGAGAAAAATCTAAAGAGAATAAGAAGGAGGAAAGTGTTTCGTCCCCTGGTATCGAGAAAGAATCATCTTATACAGAAGTGGGCGAAACGAACGATGTAACCAGATCGAAAGAGAATGTAAAGAAAACGGTAAAGATGAGTTCGAAAGTAGCCCAAGAGAAGGGCGAAGAACCGATTGGTTCTCGCATTAAAGAAAGCGAAACGACCTGCCGAAAGAGGTCCGAGCAAAGCGGCGTAGAAATAGATAAAGCTTCCTCGCCGTTCTCGAAGAAGAACGAGCCGCCATCCCAGAAGGCTTCCTCTGATCTTCATCAAAGGCCGTTACAAGTAGATAAAGATTCCTCTTTGGTGGGAATACCGAGTATCCCTTTGCCGTGCAACGTATCGGGCCACGATTTGCCGGAAAGTATATCTCGGATGTTGGAGGAATCTACTCGAGATCAACCGCAAACCGATGGAATCGAACGGCCTGATTTAATAAACGAAACGATGGAACGAGATGGCTTGGATCTCTCTCGGAGGGAGATCTCCGCAGAATTAATTAAGGCTGTTGAAAATTCCTTCGAGGAGAAAAACGAGAGGATTTCGGGGAATATCGAAACGGCGAGCAAAGAAACGAACGAATCGAATAAATTAAAGCGTGGAGAGAAGGATACGAAGGCAGAATCGAACAAGGTGATCGGGGGATCTCGATCGACGATAATTACGACAGCTGAAAATGGTTTCACGGATCAAAGTTTCGAGACCGTCTTCCCGGAAGCTCCGCAGAAAGGCAAAGAGACGCAGGTAGAGGCGTTGTTATCTGCTATGAAATCGTTGCCGGAGCAATTACTGGGTCCTTTCATATCGGCGATGCAAATGTTGTCGTCGAAGAAATCGAGCGTGGTTGATTCCGAATCGGGAAAAAATCAAAACTCTTCGCCTCTTCGAACTTCCGTTGATGGAGGATCGATCGAAGATGAAAGTGCACCTCGAAGCGTGGAAAATTCAGGGAAACTCGTAACGGAATTCGGGGAAACAACGGCGGCTGACATCGAAAAATTGCAAGAGATCGAAACGGTACGTAGAAACGAGAAAAACGATAACAACGTTAAATTGACTAACGCAGAAGGGGGGGAAATGGAGGCAGAATTTAACAGGAATCGGGTCCTAGAAGAAGAGAAATCGTTGCGGAAAACGGAAACATCGATAGAACACGTAAGTTCTCAGAAACGTTCCCCGGAAATTGCGGATACTAACACAAGTGAAAAAGCACCTAATTCTGAACACTCTCGACGCTCAATAAACGAAGTTTCGAGGGCATCGTCATTAGATATCGAGAATTCATCTCATAAATATCATCTCGAAGCGAATTCTGAAATTCATGCGATTGACGACGAGCGATCGTCGTCGAAGGAAACGGATAACTCGAACGGCACGAGAGGTTCTAGGCTTAACAATGCATCTTTGAAAAACGAATCACTCACCATTGATAGTCCGATAAGACTGAACGAGGCCATTGGCGCACAATCATTATCGAGCGAGACGTCATCCTCGTTCGTACGTGACTCGGGGACGTCTGTCAGTGAATCATCCGACATGCAAATGCGCTCGACCACTATTGGGGCTCGAGCTGGCGATGATAACCGTGTGAAATTAATTGATGCCAGTTTGGTAGTTGACAATCGACCCTCTGCGGAGAGTGCGGCTATTTTGGGACGTAAATCGCTTGATAATAATCATACTAATTCGACGAATGTGCCTCCCAAGGTTTGCACCCTTGAAGAAAGTCCTAATTTAGTAGACGGTAGAGTCTCTGTTGGCCCAGCTTTGAAAAATTCTCGAATCGATCCGCAGAAAATTTCCGAGGAGCCCGATAATTTAATTAAAAATGTTTCTGAAGATTGTGGAAATATCAGACACGAGATTTTGAAAGAGATAGCCGAAGGATCTAGATCTATTAGTCCAGATTCTTCAAAAGGTCTTGAAATAGCTCAGGAAATTTCTGTAGATTCTAAGATCGTTGTAACTCCTATAGATTCCAAAGTTGATGGAATCCCTCCAGATATCGAATCCTCTGTTCCCAATATTTCAATGGATTCTAATATTGTTACGCGCGAAGAATCAGAAAATTTGGAAATTTCTATTCAACCTGTTCCTGAGAATTCGAATATTACGTCTAATATTCCTTTAGATTCTAAAACTACAATCCCTGAAATTATTTCCACTGAAATATCCGCGGATTCTAAAATTGTTGTTGAAGAAATTTCGAAAACTCTTACACGTGAGATTCCTTCAGACTCTGATATTCCCAAAGATTCAAAAATTACAATTTCTGAAACTTCGAGAGATTCTAGATCTATTCCAAACGAGGTACTTGAAGATTCCAAAATTTTTTCTGAAAATTCTTCGGATTCAAAGTTAGCTATTCCTGAAAAGAATTCTGATATTTCCAAAAATCTTGAAGTAGTTTCTGAAACTTCGAATGATTCCAAATCTCTCCCAAATGAAATATCCGAAGATTTAAAAATTTATACTCAAGAAGATTCTTCAGATTTAAAATTAATGATCGTTAATGAAAAAAATCCTGATATTTCCACAGATTCTAACATATCAAATGATTCTAAATCTGCACCAAACGAAGTATCTAAAGATTCCAAAACTGTTATTCAAGAAGTTTCGAAAGATCGAATTCCTATTCCTAAATCTTCTTCAGATTTAAATATTATCCCCGAAGAAAATCGCAAAACTAATTCACCAGATACTTTCGAGGAATCTGGCAACGGTCACAAACCCAAATCCCAAGAGTCCAAAACTCCAGAGATCCTTAACAAGCCCACAACGATCGTCCACGAAACTTCTGAAAACGCGTTGCATGTATCTGAAAAAGTGGAGCAGCCTATCTCCGTCGCATGCCACGTCCCCAACGACAAAATCGATACCTCACCGCTAACTTCTGCAAGTAAGTGTGTCGATTCTAAAGAAAAAACTTGCAAGCAAATTAACATTCGATCGAAACCAGAACCAAAAGATAACACTGCGTCTCCCGCGAAAGTAAACGACATAGAAAAAGATACTTCTCTTCTTCTTCTAGAAACAAAAACTGATATAGAAATCCAGGATAATTCGAATAAATCGATAAAAAGGATCGATTCGGAGATAGGGAAAAACGTAGATGGAGAGATTCGATCCGTGCTCTCCCCCTCGACATCTGGCAACGTGGACGCGAACGAACCTTGTGAAGCATTCACGAATACCGAATCGACGATTGTAACTATCTCTGACCCTTCTATTTCCGGTTCCTCGTCGAGCTCGCTTACTTTGAACGGATCGGCCTTTAACGAGGCAAATTCCACGGATACTAACGACATACCGTTCGTCGCTTCTAATATCTCGCATAACGCGTCAAACTCGATCGAAGGAGGTATCGAGTCGAATCTGAACGAAACTTATTTGGCCGATAACGTGCCTGGAATCCTTAACGAATCTTCCCGCGACGATGATAAAAGTATAGAAAAAGATTCGAACAATAACGCGGCCGATTTATATCCTCCAAGTTGGAACGAAATTGGGGGAAATGGGGTCGAAATAAAACGATCGAAGGAAAATCCTGAAATATACGTCGTCTCGGATACGATCTGCGAAGACTCGTCGGTAAATTTAACGGGATTCGATTCGGGTATTGATTCCAGCCAAGCAATTGTCGCGTGCTCGAACGTAAATGGTATTAATGAAGCACATACAGGAGCAGCCGACGTTATAGAGATCAAAATAAGCGAATGCCCTATGATAGCGGTGAACGATTGTGCGCCAATAAAAGTGGTAGAAAGTCGATCGGAAGGGGAGCCGATCGAGGGATCGAGGAAATTGCGAACAGAAAGCGAGACACGCGAGATCGTGACGATTTCGGGAGAAAGCGCGGTGGACGTCGAAAATAATGAAACGGATGCAAATGAAGTTGATAAAGCGGTTACTTCGAGAGGTACCGTGAAGGAGAGATCCAAATCTCCTGCGAAAAAGATCGGCAGAAGGAGGTCTCCAGTGAAAGTAGTGAAAAAACCTACCGGCATACCGAGAAGAAATTTCGGAAAAGTCAGCCCGAAAGGCGCGACGATAGCAAAGGCGAAGGAAACCGCGATCGAGATAACTCGAAGATCGACATTGTCGAATCAAAAATCGTCGAGAAAAAGTCCTCCAAAAACTACTACGAAGATCGCGAGAAATATTTCTTCGAACGAGGTAACGAACAGAACGAGATCATTGCCGCTTAGACAAAAGCAAATTTCAAAGAATCTTAAACCTCCGACAGAGAAGGTGATAACGGAAAAGAGATCGACAATTATGAATACTTTATCGAAAGGTTGCGAACAAATTAAGAGATCGATCATGCCCGCGCAATTAGCCGCTGATAGAAGTAACGAAATAGCGGATGAGAAAAATTTAAAAGGGAAGAACACGTTGAAATCTTCCTTCCTCTCGAGGATCCCCGTGTTCACGGCAACACGTCGACTTCCACGACAGACTGGTGAAACTTCGTGGCAATCTTGGAGAACGGTATCCGGTGACGGGTTAACTAGAGCTTCGACGAAACCATCGATTACCCAACAAGCATGGAGAAAAAGTAGTTCAGCTGGAAATGCTTCGAAGATTGGAGCCGGGCAAAAAATGGATTCCGATAAAGTCGAGGGAAATTTAAATGGCGGAAAGACGGTGGCCGTAAAAACTGAAGCAGCTCGGACGAGAACTTCCGGGGATGAGAAAGGCACGGGAGAAAAAACGAAACCCGCGATGGTATCGGAGAAAAATGACAAGGAGGTAGTCGTGAACGAGTCTGCTAAGGGAGATCCGATGGTATCCGAGGAAGTGGATTTAAATGATACGACTTCGAGCGAAGAATACGAGCTGGAAGAAGTTTCAGATAACGAAACTTCCGCCTCAGACTTGGAGAGCATCATTGAATCGGAATGTATATCGGAAAAAGAGCAGTCAGATCGTACGTTGGACAGTACGGAGGAGCTGACCGATGCCGAAATTATGCTACAAGAAACGATTAACGCGATAAAGGCGAAAATATCCGATTCCGAATTCGAGAATTCTGAAAATGAATATATCACTGATAACGAGAGCCAAGAGGATTCTAACGAAGATCACGTGAGAGATTCTTTCTCCGAAGAAGAGGAGGAACAATTGGAGAAAGATAAAAAAATTGATAATTCGGATAATGCATCGTCCGAAGAAGATGATACTTTGAGAGATGATAACGTTGATCTGAAGAATCAACAATTGCAAAAAACAAATAAATTACACGATAATACCAAAAATGTATCTAAAAAAAATATTATTTCTAAAACTTGTTCCATTAAAAAATCTGTAGTATTTATAAAAAATGACACAAATATCGTCAAAGATAAGTCTGCTAAATTAAACGAAAAACTTGAAATAAACAAGTCTGGTAAAAAGGAGCAAAACAAGACAGATCTTAAAACAGAAATCGTAAAAGTGAAGCGGTCGAGCGATAAACGCACGAAAGTGAATCGCAGAGCGAGTACAGGCTGTGACAGAGGGGTGGATCAGGGTGGAACGTTAAAGAAACGATTCTCTTTGGTGGCCAGTTGTATCCGTCGATTCGAGGGCGAAGAGAAAACGGAACGAGAATATGTGGAAAGTAGGAGCGGCAAGGCAAAGACAGGCGGATCTCCCAAAACGGAGAGGGAGGTCAGTAGACGTCAGTTGTCAGAATCACTTGTCGACTTTGTCGGTCCTTACTGCTGACAGGCCAATGTCTACAAACAGCTCTATCA